AATTCATTGTTAAATTCATATTTTAAATTCATATTTTAATTGCTATGACATTGAACATTGTTCATGCTTTTGGTGCTCTATAGTACAATCTCTTTTGTGGACCGGTGGGAGGAGGGGGGGGGGGTATCTGAGAGAAGGTTTTCCGTGCTGCCTTTAATGGCTCAGAGTCGGGTGTCGAACTCGAGTCCCGTTGTTAGGTGGCCCAGCCGTAACCAAGCGGTTAAGTTGTCTAAGCCACGCATGTAACAGATCTTAGTATTATAAGATGAAACCTTATGTGAACGAAATGTATTGCAAGTATTGAGAACCAATTACTATTTAGCATGAATAGTATTATTAAAAACAGCACGGCAATCAACCTATCATTGGTGAGTTAGTTTTAAAAACTATGAAGGAAAAAAAAATAATTTAAAAATAACGAAGTATAGTGGAGCAGGTCACTCTGTCGGCAAACGAAATATTTATCGATTTGAAAGTAGGAGATAACTAGGTACAAGGAGAGCCGAATAAAAACACCAACAACAAAATAGTAACGTTAGCCCGGTGTATTTCAGGAATGTACACTCTGACATTTTAGTTTCTTGTTTCATTCTATTTCACGCTCTGGTCTTCTACCCCCTTTCTTCCCCGTCCTACTTTCTTTACGGTCCATGTCTCTCTCTCACCCCCCCCCTTCTCTCTCTCTCTCTCTCTCTCTTTCTATCTCAAACACTCTCTCCTACTGATAACTACTATGCATGCAGTTTCGTCCTGCTGTTAATTAAAATGCTAGAACCAATTATATCGCAGTGTCAAATCTGTTTTGCTGTTTGACTATGGTATCCATAATTACACTTCATTGCGACTTATAATTAGTTGCAGCTGTGCTACTGTCACTCTCAGCTACCTCCATATAATTATGAAAAAAAAATATTTTAATGATCGACCTTTAACATGACAGATTACAGAACATTTATTAAATGTAAAAATAGTAGCTGTTGGTAGTTGTAACGAATCTTTACACTAATTATAATCCTTTCTCGCTAGTGATTATATTTAACCATACCTAATCGTCACGTTGTCCGGTTCAATATATGTACTATCGGTTGGCTAAGAGTATTTAAAATATCACCCCTTGTGTGTGTAAATCTTTTCTTTGTAATCGCTTTGCTCATTAAAATTATGTAAATATTTTATTCATGATCTAATAATGTAATCACCAGATAACACAAACAGATTGTCACAGAATGAACAAACATGAAAGATAAGACAGTTTTGTTCAATTAGATTTCAAGCCATTTCTGTGTCATTATCCCTGTGTATCTAAGAGTTAAAAAGTTTTAATGGCATTGGGGAAATAAAACATTTCACGCGTTTATGAAGTCAAGACTTACATAGTCTGTGGTCATACCTCGCTACGCTACTGCGTGAAGTCACTTTAATCTTTATTCAAGTCTCTGAGCTTGATAAATGTTTTTAATAATGAGTTGCGGAATAAAATACAGAATAGCTAAGGAATTTCGTCTTAGAGATTAATACATTTAGGCTAAATTGTATTGCGTCATCACACTGTGATACTCTGTTCATGAAATATCAAATAATGGAAGAACACTCCGCACGTGGATTAAAAATCGATCTCAAATATAAATGAATAATGTTACACTAACCTGTTCGCTCTTTTAGTATATGAGCCTTGCATTAGCAACAAAATCAGCAAAATATTTCTAAAATACTTTTTGAAAAAAGCTATATAAAGACACGAAGCGCACAATTACTGTCATAGCTCTCAATGACAATGCTAAAGATTTATCTAATTTTCTCTTTATAAAGCTAAATTAATTCCCACGAATAGTACACATTGTTTCTATCACTTCCATTTCTGATCAAATTTAAACTTTGCACAATTATTTATAGCCCCTAACAAAACATGAATCAATCAAAAAATTAACTAATTAATTAACTAGTGGTACCGTTAATTATGTAATTTTGTTGGATATGGAAAAGGAAAATAAATATTACAGTATTGAGATAAATGTAAATGTGCAGTTCTTTCTCTTATTTAAGCTTTGTTTTTATAAGAAGTATTTGTATATCTTGCTTGTTGGACTTGTACTGCTCCTAATTAATTTACTTTGTCTTTTTCGTGTACCGTTGTTGGTATACTAACAGATCTATAGTGACTGAGTTTCTACGTCTGCAAGTAGTAGGCCTCGTTTTGAAAAAGATTCTCGTTTATCATTCACGAGTTGAATGGAAGCCTACACAGTGACCTACTTACAGTGTTCGTTTAGAATGTGACGACAGAGGGCAGCCGATCATGTTGCGCATCACAGTTTTGAATATACGGTCCTTAAACATCAACCGATGCAAACCACCTTAGAAACCTCGAAGTTTTGGGGATTTTCCACGATAGACTAAACAATGTCAAGGACGCTAAGCTGAACTTTCATTTAGCCAACTTAATAAAAGCTACACATGGAAATTGAATCTGCATTGATGAGTAGCTCGCAACAATATTGATATAGATATCTACCTTTTATAAAAATAGATATCTTAGTAGCACTTTCTTTATTTTTGTACACCGTATTCACCAACTAGCTAGATATTTATAGTTTTTTTTCCGCCATTAATAAAAATGTCTATTGTGTAAAAAAGTTTGACGAGATTTATAGCTGAAAGGAATATTCTATTTAATGGAAGGGCTTTTGAGAGGTAGCTAAATTGAAATACTCTATACATTGAGCTATCATGAAGAACCTCATATTTGTTTGGCTTTGTGTATTATATGGATGCCCTATACAAGGTTCGGCTCGTAGTGGACTAGCTGACTAGCCACTTACTAATAAAATTGTATGCAACAAATAAACATTATTACAGACTTTAAAGTGGCAGAACAGAGTCTGAAATATGAATTCCACGTCTTTACTTGTTCAGGTTGTGAAACCATCCCCGTTTGTTCCTCCGGACCTCATTGTTACAGGTTACATGAGAACCGTTATAGAAATCGCTTTCGACCTTTGTATCTGTGCCATTCTCTGCCTCGTTGGCGTGGTGACAAATATCCTTGACCTTGCTGTGTTCGCCAGGCAGGGTTACAAGACGACGGTCAACATATCCATGTCTTTCATCGCCTTCTTTGACTTGGTCAAGTCTTTGTCGGGCCTCGCTCACCGGCTTTACGGCCCTCTGCTGCTCTACGACTCAGCTCTGGCGAAGACGTGGGAGAACTACACGCGTGGTAGCCTCGCTTTCGTCCAGACGTTTGCCGTGTACACGTGCAGCGTGCTGGCGGGCTACGTGGCGGTAGAAAGATGTCTTTGCGTGCTTATTCCCTTCACCGTGAAAACCCTGCTCACGCCAAGGGTCACGTGGATAGCCATGGCTACCATCTCCATCGTGACCAACGGCTCCTTTTGGGTGGTCTACGCCTTCTACGACTACGGGTGGGACTGGAGCCCGACCTTCAACACCACCATAGGAATCTTCAAGTACAGCGAGTTCTACTGGCGTAACCTTGACCTCGTGGTAACCTATTACAACATCATGGGCATCGTCTGGCCGTTCACGAGCCTCGTTATCATATTCGTCAGCACCGTGGTCATTACCTACCAGCTTCGGAAATCCTCCCAGTTCTGGAACACCAGTAAGGCGACTTCCAAGATTCCTCTCAACGCCTACAGCACCAAGTCGGAGAAGAATGAAAGCATCACGTTTGAATCCAACACTTCCAGGCTGAGTCCTAGAGACAAGCAAGTAGTCAAAATGCTTCTGGCGATAATCGTCATCTACATTATAGCGCTCCTGCCTAGAATCATACTGTTTATCGCCAAGTGCTTCGAACCCGAGCTGTATTTCTTCAAGAAGTACCACAACTTGTTCTTCGTGCTGGCCTACTCCCTGTTCATCCTGGACTTCATCAACTCCACGGTCAACTTCTTTATCTACATCGCGATGAGCTCACAGTTCAGAGCTACCCTCATGGACATGTTTAGACTAAACAGTTCCAAACGAGTTCACTCCCTTGCTTGACCAATGTTTAAATTAGTAAAAAGGACAAAGTATAAATCATTTTATACGACATATATGTATAAGGCTTAAGGTAACTCAATTCGTCGAGTCCTAAACTTGTTGGACTGTGCGTTTATGAAGGCAGGTGTAGGGGATGACTTCAAACACAGGTTGAAAAAACCAATGAATTTCCAAAGAAACAGTGCCTATTGTCACTGCTAATGACGCTTTGAGTCTTGAACTTTGTAATTTTTGGTTTTACGACATTCGGTCTAAACGTTCTGTAGGGTACTGCTAATATAATTTGTACATCCACCATCACTTCAATAAATACAGCATTTTAAGTTTTAGTTTCAAGTATCCAAGGGAGCCTTATCAGCTTTTATGTGAAAACTTATAATTGAAACATTTATAGGTTCCCAGATCAAAATGTTGAAAGTTCCAAAGAATCCCAGACTTAAGCGTAAAAGTTTCAAAGGTTCATAGATCAATACGTAGGACAGATCCCAGCAGAGTGGTTTCATTTATTGGCCTAGTCAACCTTGACAATAAACTTCTCAATTCTTATAAACCATGAAACCGGAATACACAAACTTCATAAGCCCTGAAATTAAACGCGTCTTTAACTCCTGCATGAAACAAGAGAACACTCGTTTCCAGACTAAAACATAGAACAGTTCCGTAATCCAATCCCTATATAATTATTTCGGGCTAACCCGTAGAATATAATTCAGAGTCTAAGTCAGATAATATATATGCCCGTGACTAGCAATAAAGTGCCTCTGTCCATCTCCTTCTCAGAACTAATGAGTTTTTTTTCAATAAACTAATTTCAAAATAACGGTTATTGTTTGTTGTTTCCACTTCACCCTAAAAAGTGATAAAAATATGAGTTTAGAAATCTAAAGTGAGGCTTACAAAATTAGTTAATGGCACAAAGAAGTTGTTTTGTTTCCTTAAAGAAGTCTAATTTGAAAAAAAAAAATGGGTTTAAATGTAACATAACACAAAAATTAAAAAAATTAACCCAATCTTCTTTTCTAGTTTATTTCTACATAGCTACACATCAAGATACAAAACACTAGTGTAATTATAAAGTAAACTGTCTGTATAGGTCAACACTAACAGACAATGTAGGCACATAGGACTCGCCGTAAATGCATTCTGGCAAATGTAACACAACAAGCATAAAGAGCCAACTCTATCTAAATATTTACATTGCTTCTTACAGAAGCGGTGTAATTTCCTTTTTAACAGCAAAGCTTCCATTCCAATGAAATTAAAAATAAAACTTTTCACTTCTGACACCAAATAAAAAAAATCAAAAAGTTCCTAAAGAAGAACATTGCTGCAAGAGATTTTTTTTGTTTAAATTGGCTGATTCCATCATTTGTAACATTCAAGAAATTGAAGAGTCATTCACCTGAAAAGAAAATAGGAAAACAAAAAAAAAATAATAAAAAAATTATATCAATCAGGCTTGTCCAGGCTAATATTAGGTGTCCATTCAGAGTTCTAACGTTTTTGAGAAACCTGAATTTAAAATAAAATTGCAAGTTGAAATTATAAAATAATAAACATTTTCATCAAATTTTGCATTCTCAACAGACACAAGTTTTGGAAAAGCACCAAATATATTTTAAAATGTAAGGAAAGAGATGACCCAGACAAGAAAAAGTCTAGCGACACAAAAGTATTTAAAAAGCTTGGAAGATAGGATTAGAATCTCGTGGATTCATTTTAGATAGAAAGTACAAATCATGGAGTCATCTAAATGTCACTATAAATGAATCTAATGTAGCATCAGAGTACTACTCCTTGTTAAGTCTTGAAGAAATGTCAATAATGTTCTGTTCATTCAAGGTTCATATACGAATAGTAGTAATACTAAACATTCTTTCTCCAGACAGCATTTTAAATAAGAAATTAAATTTAAAAACATGTACTGGCATATTTTAAGAGTATCTCAATGACAAAATATTTCCTAGAACTCATAAAACTTTCAATGAAAATAATGAATTTTAAGAAATATTTATATATGTGTTCTACAGGTGCTATCAAACAATTCAGACAATCACAGGCAGACATACAATTGTTTTGTTAAGTCAAATAAGGACAAGGTCATTGTCTGCTGCTGGCCTATTGAAATCTTTTTTTTTTGTCTGCATTTAGTGGTAGCTTTTCATTGGTCGTCTGTACCACTATCTGTGCATGAGTTCTCTAGATTTTTAGATGCTTTCCTTATGCCTGAGTTTTAAATAGAATACACACAACTATCAAACACAATAAGTTCTCTACAGGGTTTACATAGATCTATCAAGCTATATACAGGGGCATAACAGTGTTGACACATATTTATTTATAGTTGGCCAAGATTTCAGAACTAACAGAGTTTAGCCCTGGATTACACTAACAGAACTAACAGTTTAGCCCTGGATTACACTAACAGAACTAACAGTTTAGCCCTGGATTACACTAACAGAATTAACAGTTTAGCCCTGGATTACACTAACAGAACTAACAGTTTAGCCCTGGATTACACTAACAGAACTAACAGTTTAGCCCTGGATTACACTAACAGAACTAACAGTTTAGCCCTGGATTACACTAACAGAACTAACAGTTTAGCCCTGGATTACACTAACAAAACTAACAGTTTAGCCCTGGATTACACTAACAGAACTAACAGTTTAGCCCTGGATTACACTAACAGAATTTAGCACTGTACAGTTAAGACATCAAGTTTATACAAGACTAGGTCTATTGATGCAATGAATGATGGCAAAGTTATTTAGACTACAGGCACTTCACAGTTTACAACCATCTTTTATCAAAACTAAACTAATATTGCAAGGGTGACTACTTGGTACAATACATCACTAATGTTAACACTTCAGACTACAATGTTGAACCTGTGGGTAGATCGAATAGTTGTACATGCACTGAGGGTATTATTGTAAGAACAAGAGCTTATCTAAAACACAATTTTTAATATAATACAGGGAGATTCTACAAGAATGTGCCAAAACCATCGCACTATATTCCAAAAAACAAATAAACACACAATTGATACCAAGCTGGACACAAGTGTTGTATATTACTTCAAGTTTTTATGTTATACTTAACAAGCGCTAAATGTAACCTCCACCAGCAGCTCGGACAACATCAAGCTGATACAAAAATTAATCGCAAACGCTCTTACCGATGCCCCTGTCCACTGTGTAATTCAAGCTGAGATTTGATTTTTCATGCCATTGATATTTACTGGCAATGGTGGAACTAACATTTTGTCTTTAACATACCCCCTAAGGAAAAAAGTCTTACTCAGTGAGTTCAGGTGACCTGGCAGCCATGCGCAGAGAGCAAGGTCTTTGCACCTCTTCTACTAATCCACCGCAGTCGCCAGGATTTCTCCTACAAGGACAATTTAAAATTGACAAGTTGAAATTAACACCCAGTTAAGAGGTGCGGTGGCTGAGCGGTAAAGCAAGTGGCTGCCGAACCAGGGGTCCCGGGTTCAATCCTGGGATTTTTAATTTCAGGATCTTTGGCATCTTTGAGGCCAACCCAGATCTAATGGATACCTGACATTAGTTGGGGAAAAAGTAAAGGAGGTTGGTTGTTGTGCTGGCCACATGACACCCTCGTTAACTGTTGGCCACAGAAACAGATGACCTTTACATCATCTGTCCTATAAATCTCAAGGTCTGAAAAAGGAGCTTTACTTTTTTTTTTTAAAACAAGAATAGCTCCTGCATCAAATCAGTCCATTACAATGCTTTGGAAATGAATAGATGCAGGATGATTTTAGCACACTATTTTGGAATCAGCCTGCACATGCAGGACATGTTTCTTTTGCCAAGAAAAATGTTATTTAAAAAATGAACAATTTTTATGGTAAACACTAACAAAGATACATTGGGACTTTCACTAGGTTGTAATACTATTAAATGTTTAAGAAATATCAATGTCTATATATATGGGGATGTATAAGCATATTTAAGCATACTGTACAGAAATATAATTCACATTTAACTGCTAGAAGGCAAAGTACTATAAAATCAACCAACACATTTGTTAACTTACAATAAGAGTTGCAATGGATTTCAACTTTTGAAATCCAATGAGTTGCAAGTTATAAATAAACTAAAAAAAAAAAAAAAAAATGTATGGGTTAATCAAAATACAGTTGAGAACTCAATAAAACTTTGATAAATGTACAAGATATGGGAGACAAATCATTATGAACTTGTAAGCGTCTGAACTTCTAATGAGGTATAGAAATAATTAGTTAATTGAAACTCAATTTGTTTTGTTATTGTTGAGCAACCTGAGAGGTCGGCATCTAAAAACTGTATCATTAGCCCTGCTTTCTTGTTCCATGTTTAAAATATTGACTCGAAAATGTTTGCAACAAAAACCTAGGGATAATAAAATCAAATAAAATAGTTGAGTTAATCTACATAATGAAGTATGTTGGAAGATTATTTTTTCTCCCAGCAGTTGAGTTTAGCTTCAAGTCTCTTTTACTGATACTTTTATTTCAACCAACAAATACAACTCTGCACTATGGATGGCTGCCTGGTCGAGTGCTATGTACGCCAGACTGCCATTCTACTGTCTTGATTGTCCCGGGTTCATACCCTGCCCACTGCAGAAACATGTAACACTAATGAGAATTAGTCTTTCCAGGACAATGCATTTGTTTTATAGGTCTTGCGAAACAAAGTGATGGTCACAAAAATACTTTGCAAATACGAGAAATCACTTAACAATTAAAGACTGGTGAAGAAAATTGATCTTGCTCAAATACAACGTACAACTGGTACATAACAAAATACATTCTGTACAATATGTACACAGAGTACAGCTTCATCCTAACTGGCCAGTTTAACATGTAACACAAAAAAGATTGGCCAAAAAAAAAATTGTCAGTAATTATCAGGTCTCTAAATCTGGTTAAATAGTAATTTTGTTTCATTGTCATTTTCTGTTTCCTTCTTGCACATTGGCAAAGTTTTAATTTAGATACTGCATTTAAGAAATTCATAAATATGCTGCTAAGGTCTAGGATGTATTTATAATATGTACATTCCCACTATTATTCACAACGTCTGCAACTATAACAGAGATATGAAATGTGAATGTAAAAAAAATAAGATTTAATAAAAATGTAAGAAGGCAACTGCAAGTACTAATGGTCCTGGTATATCATGTTATTTATGTAAAAATAACTTTATTACTGGTAATGCCATGTTGACTGCTTAATTTGTTATCACTGAGATAAAAGTCCAAGACCGTATTGAGACTTGATAAGAGCCTCAGCTATTAGTCATATGGGGCCCCTTGTAATCAACATAAGACAATTTTTTTTGTTGCTCTTTCGTAATTGGAGGTCCGTCCTTGAAGACGTTATAAGCTTATTTTGCAAACAGGTAAACCCAGCACTCTAAAAGCTGCACTTATATACATCACAACCTAATATGAATAAAAACCAGAGATGGCATAAAGTTGTATAGTAGCATCGTCTGGGAGGTATCGAAGAGCCCAAGTGTCCCAATGGAATGTTGAAGTTGAAGTGGCAAACACAACACAGCCACAGTGTCTTTATAAAATAAACTTATCACACACGGATCAAAACATTCTACTAATTAATGAGGGTGTGCCCTAATATACCCTAATCATTTTGAGCAACATGTTATCATAATTATCATTAATAAAAATAACTCAAAACAGCTGTAAAGGTTGTTGTTTTTTTTTTAAACGAGTAAAGATTTTGAGTGATTACACCTGAATCATTGATCATGAATATTTTATCAGTTTGTCTATGCACTTGGCAATAAAAAAATTACAACCCTTGATAAAAACAATACAGGTTTTTTTTTCACATACTTTTAACAAGCCACTGGATGTCTGTTAACATTAAATATGCAAGTGAAATTTATTACACAACTGATATACAGATACAATAAAATCTGCAGTTAATTAGCCAGTATATCTGTGATCACCAGACATAGAACTCCACTATCTATAGCACAACTGTAATACAGGTACATTATAAACTGAATTTGCCTTAATAGTATGCAAACAAAATATGTAAAATACAATGTTTTAATATAATAAAGGAAATACTGTCTCACAATAAAAAATTTAACATAATATAATCCAATGTTTGAAACTTGTTACAAGTACTACACATATGTAACTAATCTTAATATCAATATAAGCTTATTAACATTAAATTATAAGAAAAAAAGTTTTTCACTTTCATTACCTAACAGCAAAATGAAATGTTCATCTGCATACAGGCAACATGGTGTACTTTACCAAACATCTGACCCACAACCAAATACCAACAGGCTTACAAACAACTTTAACAAGGGATAAAGAAAATCCTTGTCAGATGCTAATGTTTAGATTTTATATTTACATAACAGCATTAAGAAAGCAAGTAGTAAATAAGAGTGAGAGATGGAGAGGTCTCAAACATTACACGACAAGCCCTCACTAGGAACCATCAAAGAAAGAAGGGACGACCCTGGAATACATGGTGGCGCAATTTGGAAGCAGATGCCAAACTGGATGGCTGGAGGAAGCTGGTTGGTGACCTTTGCCCCCAGACAAGACCACAGGCAGAAAGTAAAATAATTTAAATCTGGATACTCAAAGTTTTTTCTTATTCACTAACAACACAAGAAGACATTCTGTCTCAATCTGAACATTTTTAGTTCATGAAAATCTTTTATTATTCAGAAAACCATGAAATAAAATTCTAATGGAACAAAAGTTGATGAAAAACACATAATCCAACTATTCAAAGGCATCAAAATGGATGGTACAAACCTCTATAAAGCCACATGGATAAAAACAGCAGAGAAAAAAAGAAAACAGTCCAGGGACATACAGAGATTTAAAAACCCCAAAACCAAGAACCTTGTTACAATAAATCCATATTTAAACCAAGCCATGGATAAAACTTCTGATATGATTACTAAAAAATAAATGATTCAATTAAAATCATACAAAAAAAAGTCCTGAGAAAATGTAAAAATGTTGAAGCAAAACTCCAAAAGGCAAGGTCTAAAAAAAAACAATGTCACAAGGATGATATGTTTTTACAAATCTATTTACACAATAATTGTACATAAAAAATAGGCAGACGTCCATCGTTTAAAAAAAAAATGTGCACAGTGAAGAAAATATTGTTCAGCAACCCAGCACAAAATCTGAAATAATGTCTTAATATGTATATATGAAAATCTGAGCAGAGCTTGGATTTGATCAAACACCATTAGGCTTCT